TGACTCGCCATACTGTGGAAGAAATAGGGTCGAATTAGTTAGATTGCTGCGAACGTGACTCCACAATAAGAACGTAGTACATCTTGCAACCAAACAATCTCCATCGAGGCCTTGAACCGTTTCTCTTTAGAAGTTCTACAGTAAGACCAAATACCGTATCTAATAGATCGTTCGGTGCTGGAGCAGGCGGGCCATGATTGTTGGTTCTCCTCTACCCTACTGCTTCACCGCCGCAGAAGGCGGCACGGGAAGAATCGCGCCAATGGCGTCGCTTCTTGGCCCCGAACACAGTAATCCCTTATGATGTCTCCAGGAGAATCGGTGCTTTCTATTTGTGAGTAGTGCCTTCAATGAGAAGCACAACCACTTTATGCGAGAGATACCGTAAATTGCTATGTTCCCGAGGATTATGGCGAAAAGTGAGGATCGTACCAAAGGTACCGATGAGGGAGATTTACAGGGTCGACTCCTAAAGTCTCCAATCCATTGCGTCGATAAATTCTTACCACGCTTCTGTGACAAGACAAAAACCCAGAGGTAGAGGTTGCGCTGGCCTATCAAAAATGGACTGATTTAGGAAAGCCGAAAGCCTTCACCCAAACATTTTGAATAGTCCGAAAGGGCACTTGCATTTCCACTTCTTTTTTTATTGAAAGATTGACTTTTTTTCTTTTGAGAGATTGAGTTGTTTCCTTCGAAACATAGACTTATTAGAGTTGTTCTCCGAAAAACCATCTGTTTATAGGTCAAACCACATCAAATAGTCACCCAAGCAGCACAACGGATTGCACTGGTTCATATTGCACAAAGTGAGATACATTTTCTCTAGAAATCGCGAAAAGTTTTACTGTTAACATTTGTGAGTAATGAGGCGTAATATGCAACGCGACACGCCTGCCTGGAACTTTCCGTCAGGGTTTCCACCACCACTTTTGGAGTGTAGGGTTCTGAAATGTTGAGAGTGGGTAGGCGACTTTTTATGTGCGAGCAGTAGGTATGCACAAAGATCAGTGATGAAGTGGCTTACACACACTCAAGCCTTCATGACCCTATCTCGAAAATTGCAGGCAAGGTAGTCCTTACTAGAATTTGCACACCGGTCTTTTCTACGAAGCATGCGTGCACGTAAAAATTACAAGAAAAATTCCAGAATCGCTGTCAAAACAGATAGTGAGACAACGTACAACTATGGATGCGATATGACAAAAGTTTGTGCTGTAAGTTTTGCATCCTTTTTTACCTGAAGTACACCACACATTTGGTTCCTTTTTCTTTCGAGTAGCAATCAGTAGAGGGTTTATTGAACGTGCAATTCAATTGGAATACTTTCCAATTTACAGAAAGAAGGCTGCTACTCTGGTGTTAGTGGAGCTCAAGTTTGCTGTTGCGGATCAAATCTTTGCAATTCATCCACGAAGCTCTCAGGGCTCTTTGCACTCGCTCCAATAGCTTTAATAAAAATCCTTGCTTTCTGAACAAATGTCTCTTATTTTTTGTTGATTGGTTGTTATTGTATATTGAAATCGTATGTGTGATAAAAATTCTTTTGTCGCTCTCAATCTGAATTTTTCACCCAGGAGAATAAAAAAAATGAAACAGTGGGTTGAAATGGCACTTGGCCTGACTCCTCGGCTTGTAAAGCGGTCTTACCTAAACAGCAGAAGAGTAAAAAGCAGACAGCCAGTTCCCGCTCTCCTGGTCTCACTCCTTTCTCTAGCATGGAAATGCGGCATGACTTCGAGACAAATAGTATAAAAATGAACAGTCAAACGCTAGAAAAGAACATCTCGAGCTTACTTGGGGTAGCCTTCAACAGAAAGGAATTGCAGCGACCATTGATTATTTTAACTATGGACCAAGAGTAATGCACCCATCCGGTCACCCTCCATTGGGGATCAGATGACGCTTTGATAAAGATTTACCCAGGGCTAAAGGGTGGATATGTCCCTACACGCTTCCTCATAGACGGCAAGTGTTTTTTTGCACCACACCCGTATGGTTCATAGTAGACATCGACATTGATTGCCTCGAAAGGGGCATCTGAAGCACTTGTAGCTAATGGAGCAGGGGATTTTATACAAGGCAATGGACGTGAAGTGACGTTGAATTCCTCAGCTTGTACCATCTCTGCTGGAACAGTCGAGCTGTTTCGCAGTGTTACTCTTTTGAACAACCTTCCTGTCCTGCGCTTGTCTTCAAGTTCTATTCGTAAAGAATAAAAACGAGCTTCTAATTCATAGCACAGCTAGGGTGGGTTGTCATTAGAACTCTTCTCACTACGACTACGACTCTTGAAAACTTGGTAAAAGCGTAGAGCAGGGGGGTATGTTAATACGACAATTGTACAACAAGGATCTGAAGGATCGCATGCGCGACTACGCGACCAGTCACGGTTGTCCTGTCCGTCTCTCCAGCGTTTTTGTTTTGCGAGAGTGGGTCTTACTCCGATGCGAGTCCCCCTCGCAACATACCTCTACCTTTTCAGGATTTTCCCTCGGATTTCACTGCCGAGTGGTTCAGCAGGGGGGACACTCGGAAAAAATCTTCTGTTTCCCAATCACGACTACACTACAACCCCACTCCCGCCGTGGCCTACGCGACCCCTCTGGGTTTCGCACAGCAATGCACTACCCTGGCTTATCTACTAGTGGTCTATACTGATTGACCTGCACTGCATTTCTCCTTTTCATACCTTCTGAGTAAATCACTCATAATAGTTTCCAACGTGACATAACTATTAAGAAGCGCAGAGTCCATCTGAAGCAAAAAATTTGGCGTGTGAGCTACACTACATGCGAAAAGGTGTTGCGAGACAACCTAATGCTTTTGTAAGTGATGACTGATGCCTTTCCTTTTGTCGCAACAGATTATTGAGCAAATCGGAGAGATAGGGTTATCATTCGAAGTGACGACTTAGACATTTTCCACCTTATCCATACCACAAACAAAAGTTCCGTGATCGCCAAACAAGTCGGTTCAGAGATCAGTAAACCCTGATCTCTTTTCTTTGGGACTCAGTTTTTAGGGACTCATGGTATTAGATTTGCGATAAATTGGTGTCATGTATTTCGAACTAAAAATACTAGCTCTGAACTCAGAAGCTGTGATCGATAATGTAGATAACACCCAATAACTTTTCTATTAGCAGCGGTAGCTTGTTTCATACTCCATTGTTTTGCTGAAAATGAACAACAATTCCGAATGCACTGACCGTTCTCTCCTTTCCCCCCAAGCCACTTCGTCCAGGCGGCGACAGCTGCTGAGGCCAAAAAAGGACTTGTATGAAAACAAGGTGCTCGTGACCGGCCTAATGTTTTTCGACAACAATGCTTGCTTTATACGGGAAACTGCAGTCTTGGAGACGTACTCGAGCTGAACCTGACAAAGCTGCATCTTGAGAAACTACTGAATAGAAAAGTCGCTACCACGAGCGCATTTTTCGCCCAAAGCACGCATGCAATGAAGTACCAGACCGCTCCTCGCAAAAAAAGTGTAGCCGAGCCCCATGAAAAGGGGAAACTTCACCACACGGGCCCACGTCAAGCTTGAAAGGTGTCGCCCGACCTTCGTTGGGTGAAACTGCATTGTGAAGCATCCCTGAGATGTTCAAGCGTTGACTAGGACCCTCAAACATTGTGAATGCTCTTGATCTTCATAGGTTATTGTGAATGCCTTGATCTCATAGGTTATCCTGGAAAAGGAATTCCAGGATAACAAATACGAAATTTCTCTGAAAACTTAGTAACGGGGATTTGGCACTATTCAACTATTACTACCCCATTTTGCGAAACACAGGCCGATTTTGATCGACTTTTTTCTATGGCGGCGGATTGGGCTGAAATTTGGGTTTAGGGGTAATTCGACCTCCTGAACACGAATATCACATCCACTTCGCCTGAAAGTGCCTGGCGCCCGCGCCACGGGCACCAGCGATTTAGGGCATTTTGGCGCCGATGCCTGTAGCGCGGGCGCCGGGCGGTTTCAGGTCTGAGCGGATGTGATATTCGTGTTTAGGAGGTCAAACTACCCCTGGGCACAAGTTTCGGCGTTTCTGTGATCTATAGGGTACTTTTGGCGCCGGCCGCTCTGTGGCGCGGCGCCAGGCAGTAATCGGGAGTAGCGGATTGGATATTCGTGTTCAGGAGGTCGAATTACCCCTAGAACCCAACTTTCAGCCAAATCTGCCCCCGTAGAAAAAAGTCGATCAAGATCCGGCCCGTTTTCGGAAAATTGGGGTAGTAATAGTTGAATACAGTGCGTAACAAAAGTATGTGGACACCTCAAATTTTTGTCCTGCAAAATTGCCTTTGAATTTTGCGATATGAGACCTTTATTGTTGAATTCCTCATAAGCGAAAACATAGGAATACACTACTTCTGAGCACTTTGTGAACTACTGTACAATTATTTATTGTTTTGAAAAAGTTTCTTAATAACAAAAGTATGTGGACACCTGAGGAAGTCCAAAGTTTGGCTCCAGATCTGCAATCCATTTTTATGGGTCTCTAGTCCCTATTAACTGTTCTCATCACCCGTGTGGTGGTCTCCCTACGAAAGACGAACAAAGATCGGATTCGAGCTTAATCAGTGCCTTAGACACTCGAATAGAGAAATTGCAAGATAGCCTGGACTTTCGGCGACGTGCGTTGGTATATACCTCCAGAATCCTGATGGCTACCACTCAGTACCTGTTTCGAGGCACCCACGATCTTTGTCCGCAAAAGACATCAGAAGAATAGCCTCAAACTCTCCGCTTTCTGTGGCACAGATCCATGCCGCGATGTATCTAAAGGTCTCAAAAATGACAATATGGCGCTCTATTCGATCAAGTGAGCACATCACTCGAGAGACCACGAAGAAAGCTCCCTGTCTGACTGCCCGACGTCAGCTGGCGAGAGGGAACTTTGCGCGTGCAAAAATGGCGACGTCGTGGGACAAGGTGCAGTTTCTTGAGATATTTGTAAAATCAGAAAGGCAACATCTTATGCGCATTTCTTTCTTAGGTTATCTTCACTGACAAGAAAAAGTCAATCTCGACGGTTGCCAGCATGGATATCAGCATCAACTGAAAAGCCTCTGTAGCGATCCCGTTGGTCTCGAGATGAAATTTCGGAGGCGCTTCTTTGATGGTACGGGGTGGTTTTGGAAGCAGAGGAAAGTTGGAGCTTGCCTTCCCATCGTGCTGTATGAACAGTGAGGAATACCAAGGAGTGCTTGAGTCTAACCTCTTGCCTTTTCTGAGCGGGCCACGACGCAGGAGACATGTGATGCAGCAGGACAACCCGCCATGCATGTTTCAAATTCTACTAGAAAATGGCTGCAACGAAATGGTATCAAAGTGGTTGACTTTTGCCGACGTGTTCTCACCTGACTGCCAAACCCAATCCGAAATCGCTGTGGGGAAGTGCATGGTTCGACGAATCTACATGAACAGTGAGCAGTACAACAGCGTGCGAGACTTGAAGGAGGCAATAGTTGCTGCATGGGAGGAAATCGACGAAGACACCATGACAAATCTTGTCCACAGCATGCCGGACAGGATGTTCGAAGTAATAGTGAACACTGGAGGAAGAACCGACTTCTATTTTCCACGATACATTTGTTTTTTGTTAAGTGTCCACATACTTTTGTTATTAAGAAACTTTTTCAAAACAATAAATAATTGTTCAGTAGTCCACAAAGTGTTTAGAAGTAGTGTATTCCTATGTTTTCGCTCATGAGGAATTCAACAGTAAAGGTCTCATATCGCAAAATTCAAAGGCAATTTTGCAGGACAAAAATTTGAGGTGTCCACATACTTTTGTTACGCTGCACTGTAGTGCCCGGAGCGAGAGTTTCCAGACGAGGGATATCCCAAGAGTAGCCCGATAACCTGTTTCATGACTCCATGCCAGCCTACTCTGACTGCAGGGATAAGGAGTGTAATAGCATATGGTGGTGCCGCAAAGGCCTGAGCACGATGTAAATGAGGCCTCAGACGCGAAGTGGATTCAACAATTGTAAATCCATTAGATGCAACAGTTAGTCTTCATGCTAGCAACAGAAATCCGGCCTCCATGTTCGCAAAAAGCTGGGGTAGTAATATTTAAAGTAGTGCCCAATTCAGGCATCGTTGTTCTGTGATCGTCAGAAAACGGCGATATAATGTTCCAAAATGAAAATATCTCATTAGATACATAAACGCTTCGGTAAGTTCCGACATCGCAGGCCGTCGCCTACCGATCTCAGGGATTTGGGGTATATTTAGAAAGGTGGCCGCCCGAATGGGCGACCAGAAACGCGCTCTCATGGAGCGATAGCTGTCGGCTGCTAGAAGGTAACTGACAGTTAACAATGAATCGTTGTCCCGGATACTACCATACCATGCGAGTCCATTTCGGCGCTGACCTAATTAACGCGCTGGTAAGGAAGGTGGAGAGACCCCTCAAGAGCGCTGCATTTGAACAATAACATGGGAAAAAGGAAAACCGCCTCTT